CTCGTTCCACTTCTCTGGCCCGTACAGTCTTGCACTGGCTGGTTATGCTGTCGTGGGAACTGATTACGCTGGCCTTGGAGTTTCGTGGGTAGCACCGCTGCGGCTCCAGTGACGAATTTCTTCGAGTTGTTCACCACTCAGAGCAATATTGGACTCGTTCAAGCAGCTCGGGCGACTCGCTTGATTTTCCCCGTAACTGCATGTACCATTACTATACTAATATATGCTGGTAAGAAGAGAACGCCGAGATGAAGCTGGCTTTGAAGCCCTGCCGCTATATATATTGTCCGTGTATTCCTCTTTAATGCATGTTCTCCAACGCTCCTTGCCCACCCTGGCCGTAACAATGAGCAAACAAGAATTGTCTCAACTTCTTGCGGGCTAGGCTGGTACTTGAATCGCGGGCACTCATTCCTTAATGCCAGAAAAAATCATCATTTTCATGCACCGTCTGTGACTTGTGCCACCAAGCTGGGGATATCATCGACCTGTCTCCTGTTGAGCAAAATGTCGTTGACCGCCGTGAACAAGGGGTATTCCTTCTCTAGACCACGAGCTTTTAAAAAGCTGTTGACCTCATATGCTGTGGTCGTTCCTTGCAACTTCTGACCGTTCAAGTCTTGTTGCTCCACTTCATCAACTGTGATGCCCTTCTCAACAGCCTTTTTGGCACAACGGAAGTTTCGTCCGCCAGAAGAAGACGTAATCAAATCAGCCACCCCAGCAGACGTTTCGGTAAAGGTTTGGCTCTGGACCGTTTCGCCAAAGAATTCCTTTCCGAACTTTACCATTTCCATTAAGCCGATGCGCATAATCGCAGCCTTGGCGTTATCACCCCAGCCACGCCCGTCAACAAAACCAGCTGCCAAAGCAACAATATTCTTCAAGGCACCGCCTAGCGATACACCCGCGACATCCGACACCATCTGAACATGGAAGTACGGGCGATGGAATAGAGTGCGGAAGCAATCATGATCCAGTGGTGGATATTCAGCAGGTACAGCAGTGAGCTTGGTTTTGGAGGTTCGGCCTCTGCAATCTCTGTGCGAAACATCCTGAAGGTCGGTGACGGTAATGCCGGGATTGGGGCTACCGGATCGTGGCGAGGGATTTCTGCTATTGTCCATCGGTGGCGGGTCGTATGCGATGGTGGTCTCTGACCACTTCTCAGCAGCAATCTCGCTGGCGATGTTGGCCCCACTCAAGGCACCGACGTAGATATTCAAGCCGTCACCAATCCACTCACTGAACAGGCTGACACCGTCGTCGGTGACGTTGACTCCCTTGATACAGCTGATGCCGCGTGCAAATGGCAAAATGTGGCCTCGCAGCTGGTCACAGACCTTGGCGATAAACTGATGTGGCAGATTGAAGATGAGGATGGATGAGTCCTTGACGGCATCGACGAGTGAGGGATTGGCGACGAGGTTGGAGGGGAGAGTAATACCAGGCAGGTACTTGACGTTTTCGTGATTTTTGTTGATAATGGAGGTCAGTTTTTGAGGCTTGTCGCCAATAGATGAGTCGTAGTGCTTCGAGTCGCTGGCAACGACAACTTCTTCCTCAAACACCCACATCTGGACCTGCTCCTCAAAGACGTCATTGTGCTGCTTTGTGTTTTCGGCAACAATCTTGGCAATCGTAGAACCCCTTGAGAGGAAGGAAAAGGTTAGATATCATTCCACATTCTCGGTAGAGCATATGTCGTTCAACCTCAAGGCCGCGCAACTTCGTGTGCACCTACCAATTGCCAGATCCCACAATGGTGACCTTGTGCTTCTTCTCATGGCCACCAAGAAGCCCATTGCCCGTCATTTTGCCGAGTGCTGCAGAGTAAAACCGGACAAGTGAAGAATAGGATTGCAAGCGGCAGAGCTGGGCAGAGAATCGCAGAATGTGTAACCGCAGCATACGATTTATCCCGCAAGCTACTTAAGTAGGATCTTGAATGTACATAAGAGGGGAAACCGCGCTTCAATATACGTGCCCTGAGCCAAGGGGGAAATGTTGGCCGGCATCCACGATGCAAGGCCCAGAACATTTGAACTGCCCCTCCAACGGCACAGCAAGCATTGTACTGAAGCTCTCACTGGGCAAAAAAAATGAAATGGGTAAGGAGCACAAGCTCAAACGCTTCACCGCTTGCTCATATTAGTTTAGCGCCCAACGGTTGGTCCGCGTTGGGGCAATTTGGTCATGGCCGGGTATGGCCGAGATGCGAGGCTTCTTGGACCTTCCTTGCTGGGGTTCTTCCCAGGCCATCACATGCAAGTGACATGCGACCAGACATCAAGGCGCTTATTATAACGATCCTCAACCAGTACGAAGTGGCCAGGCAGTGTGGATTGCGCATCTCTGACAGGGCGTCTGGTGGACACTGTGCCGTGGCTTGTTGGACAGGACATCACATGCCAGATGCCAGGGCGATCTCGTCGATTGATTCTCCTAGATGGAGCAGGCAGGGTTCAGCTGTGTGTCGCCGGACACGCGGCCGTTGAATCGAGACAGCTGCCGCCTTCCTGCAGGTCCATGGCATCATAGCATATTTTTGAAATTTCCGAGCCGAGGATTTAGGGGGCGTATTGTTCATATCTGTCCCATGTGCTCCTCGATCTTCTGCCTTTTCTTGGCCGCCTCCTCATTGCCACGCCGAGGCCGAGGCGCGGTGGCGAGACGTTCGAAGATAAAAGTCAGGTCGCATATGCCAACTTCGCAGCAAGCCTTTTTTTTTTTTTTTTTTGCTCTGTACAGGGTTCATGAAGGTTATGTGGCTAGGTACCCATACCCATAACGCTCTACGATACGAGGCCATAGTAGGATATGAGCAACCTCAGAAATGATAAAACCGAAATCCTCTGAACGGCGTTATGCACTCAAGATCAAGCTATGAATGCAGGTGTGTTACATGATGTGACGTGCCAAGGCCAATCCGCAGTAAGTTGTGACTATGTGCCCAGCCCTCTCTGTCTATCTCTCTACCTATGCTTTGCGATGACCCAGGAGCGATTTCCTTTCATCCGACTCGTCATCCTCGGTCCTCTCTCCATCGCCGAATATGGACTTGAAAACAGCGTCGTACGACATCCACATTATGTTGAACATCGATGTCACACCACTCGCAAGCCATGGTGGGAGCTTGCCAGTTTCATCCGCCAAGAATTTGGACATGATGAGAAAGAATATCAACAGCGGACCCCAAAGAGCAATGAATAAATATTGTCCAACTTTCTGAGTCCATGTTGTTGCAATATATGGATGCAGCGATGCGAGATACTGTTGATAATTAGTAGGCAGGTTGTGTTCCCTTCCACCATCCCGAAGTAGGCTCAGGTAACGTAAGCTGGGCTGAGCATAATTAGGGTCTGGTCTCTGCCGCCCATCAAGGAGGTGCTGCCACCAATTCCTCTCATCATTCGCGTTCGATGTGTAAGCTGCGTATAACGTCCTTGCGAGAAAAGGCGTGGGTCCCTTGGAAAATGTCTCCTTCGAAGCGATGGGATAGCAGGGAACGACAATCTCCTTGTAGCTGGAGCCTGCACCCTCTGTGCGCAGAATTGTTCTGTAGTCCTTCTGAGTAACTTCGTACACCACACCGACGAGCCCTCCGTCCCATTCCATATCCTGATGGATCAATTCGGCCTGAGTGTTCTTCTTCTTGTCTGGCACATTTCGAAATCCCACGTTCGCGAAACATGGCTCTCTGTAAGGCACTCCAGCGAGATCGAAAGTGAGACGTAGACTGGGAGCCGCCACATTTACCTGCGACAGAGGTCGAATGCCTCGGACACCGAGAAACGTTTTAGCACTCATATTGGAGCCATATGCCAGATACAGGACAGTTTGGGCTGCTGGTGAATCGAAAGTTGGGTGGGCATCTTCGGCAGCTTTCGTAAGGCGTTCCGATGAGGTGGTCAATATCGAGGATATTGAAGGGTACGATCCTCGAGAAGGTTGTTGGGCTGAGACTCCCGCCTTGTCTAACGCCGCTGACGCCGCCGACGCCGCGGGCTCTACATGGGTTAGAGACGACATGCTGATTCTGTGGACTCGGGCCCGTCGCCAATTGATTTGGTTCAAAAAGACAAGTATGGTATTTCAGACGCACTTGCCGAGTGCCGCTGAACTTTGTATTCTGGGGTAGCAACTTCTACTGTGTTACAAAGCGGGAGGAAGAGAATTGAAATACACAGTTGATGGTTCAACATGTCGAAACCAACAATTTAAAAGGCGCTAGTAGGAGTTACGTGGCGAGGTTTTGGTTTTCGATGTTGCTTTCTTGTGGCTGATCGGACCGTCGCAAAGTTCTGCATTGGGCGGACTTTCGGCGTTGTGCGCGGGGTCGCCGCGTAGCCAGCCAGATCCAGGCTAGCCGTTCAATCTGACGAAGCAAACATGCGGAATCCAAGGCGTCAACATGGCACGGAAGAGATGTATTCCGAGGACAGGATAGGCAGCTTTTCGAAAGTTCGTCCGTGATTCTCTCTGATCTGGTGCTTTTGTCTTGAGCAAGTGGACGGTGAAGAACCACCATGGCCTGTCCCGCCGGCGGCCTCTGCGATGTCCCGAAGTCCGTGCTCACTGTGGCAATTCCACCTGACACGGGTGCTTCTGATCTTGTTCCAATCATTGCATTTTGGTTGATCCAAGTAAACGGAGCAACGGCCGCTCTTCCAAAAAAAAAAAAAAAAAAAGCACATCTCACTGTTGAGTAATGTCTCACAGTATAGGAGGGTCTGGTACAACACATAAAATACCGTGGCGTGGCCACGTCCTTTTTTTGGTATTTCATCGTGTGACAAGGAAGCTCTTATCCCTAGCTCTTTCCCTATCGCTCAGAACGACCCCGATGCAACCTCCTCGCACCGCTCCTTCCCCATCCTAGTATCTTGCTTACTTCCTTGATGAGGGACGGAGAAGAACGCCCTATGAAATGCGGGTTTCCTTTTCCACTGTATTCTGTTTATTTACTTGTGGCGATGTGACGAAATTACTAGGACATTATGCCCCGAAAATCGAACTTGGCTGCTCCAAAGTCTGCATCAAAGAAACAGGCAGAGAAACAGCTGCAGCTTCAGTCAGCGAAATTTGGAGAGTTAGAAACCACTCCAACTAGCCACCATGAGAAGTCACCGATTCCGCCCATGAGGCAGAAAAACCGTGCCAGCCATACCCATTGTCATGATACCGATCGAATAGTTGACCCAGAGGAGTTCGAGGATGGGATCGATAATGATGCCATGGCAAAACTCGCTAACACTCCAAAAGAAATTAATATTCGCAGGGACATGGAGATAATCTGGTCTGAAAAGGATTCTGAGACACATAGGAGCTCATCAATGTCTTCTCAGGAGGAGGAGCAATCTGGACACGTTTTCGGATATATTGGGGATGATATTCCTTTTACCAGTCCTGCATCTGGACATGATGCTCTTCCGGATACGTTGCCTCTTCCAGCGTCCGCAGAGAATCCTCCCTCAGCAGATTGTCAAAGTCAATCGTCACAACAGGTGGATTTCTCCGAAACTGCTTCCACGCTTTATCGCAGCTCTCCATTCGGAAGGAGCCATACCTCCAGAGGATCAGTCACGACATCACAGCCTGCCTCAACTCAGAAAGATACTACCTTCAACCTTTTTGAGATGCAACTTCCAGCACTAGATCCATCGCATAAGGACATTCCCCATGCATCTGCCGACAGTCAGACTAAGTCTGATAAGAACTCAGCTCGAGACTCATCAGCCCCGCAGGTTACTGAAGAAACCCTGCCATTCAACTGCCATCCGTTTCCAACATGTGGCGTAAATCCTGAGGCAGAAAGCGTCCATACAGGCAGGACCTTGGGTTCAGGAGATATCTTGTTAGATCATATCACATTGAATCTACCTAATGCTAATGGAGAAAACAAGCCAAAAACTCCAGCTATACCTTATGGCGGCAAGCCTCTGAAGAAGCGCAAACAGCGGCCTAAGACCCCTATCCAGTTCGATGAAGACACCCAAGAGGTTAAATCCGTATCTCGCCAGCCGCTGTACAGGAAGTTATATAATCAACCTGTACTCACAGACGAACAACACGAACAAAAGGCAACCAGGCAAGAGAAAATATGCGGCAAAAAACGCAAAACTAATGTTTCAAATAGCAATAATTTGCAAAAAAAGGTCAAATCCGCATTCATCGGCTACGCAGAGTCCCTGATCGTCGACGGCGATACCAATAGGCAATGTGTCAGCCGAAGCTGTCCTGACCCTCAGCATCCTTTCAAAGATCGGCATGGTGACGAGATGTCTCACGATATCATAGAAGAAAAAGCACAAAACTCTCAAGTTATGAATCCGAGACCTTTCGAGAACAATGAAGTAGGCGACTTCCAAACGACTGACACAGAGACCATGATGCCACAGTCAAACCGCACTGGTCCACAACTCTCGGCCGTACAAATTATCAAGCCTACCGAAAAAGTCGGTGACTGCATTTTTGTTGCAACGGACCAGAAGCGCACATGTAATGAGATTAGCAAAGCGAAAGAGACCTGGAAAGATATTCCTGTACTCGACCCTCACATGAAGGGCCGCCAGTCTACGAGCGCTGAAGGTGACGGAGATGCGGGCGTTTCAACAGATGACAGTAAAAGGACGAACTCAGCTCCTGATACAACTGGTGTCGCAATAAGCTCTTCTAAGCCTTTCAACTTCCAAATCTCCCAGGCACAACGTTTGTCTAAGTCCAAAATGGTCCAGATGAACGCCACTGACAGACGGATGGGTCAAAATTTCGGCGTGAGTGAGAGGGGCAGTCCAATCCCGCGTCAACAGCAGGAGAGCAGGGTTGATATACCATGTACAAAAGATTCAAGTGTCTCTTTGTCGAATGAAAATGTTTCTGGAATGATTCATGAACATTGCGAGGTGCAGAATTGCACCCTGATACCTGAGAAGCACCGTTCCCAAGTGCAACGGGTTGATGAATGGGCTCCTGTCAAGGGGAATTTCGAGTCTAACCAAAACCCCGGTCTGATACAACAACGTGGAGATCATCCTGAGCTAGTTCAATCAATCGTATCTGACATTCGACGAATTCTAACGAAGCATCCCGATATAAACAAGACTGAACACGCAACCCAGCCTACCACTATATCCGAAAGAAGTCGACAGCAGCTTCACGAACTGGTCGATGTACGTATTTTCGACCATATATTTGTAAATGATCTATTTGATGACTAATCTATAACAGGTTTTCATGAAACGTATTGACTCGAAACGGGCGGAGATACTGACAGTAGCGGACGGGTATAAAAAAGCTGGTGACCGTTGCGTGGGCAAGATACAGTCTCGGTTTCTTGGAGAACGCCGCGCCGTTTTTGACGATGCCACTGCTCATGCAAGAGGGTTTCACAGTCTTGTCTCCAAAGGGGTAAAACTGACGAGTAGTAATGGTAGGAAGGGAAGTGAGTTGCTGCAAGGCTTGCAACAGACAATATTGCAGCGAGCTTCGGTGTACGAACATGCAAGCTCAATCATGGAGGCTCTGTATGAGCAGCTTGTGGCAAGCGATTTCGGTAAGGGCAGAACTCCTGTCGCTCGTGAGGCCGTTGTGATGGGGCTATCCGACTGAACAAGAGTTTTGCCGAACGATGATCAAGGGCCAATGTGTACGGAAGTCATACTACGGAGTACAATGCGCATGGCTGCTAAAGACCAATCTTTCCTAGATTCCATCCTAGACAAATTTGTTGGCATGTCCAATGGGCCTGCGTGATTTAAATGAAGTGATGTTGTCGCATAGGATAATGGCGTACTGGCAGTATCGGATATCGGGCCACACAACGAACGGAAATCAGATAATGTGCACAGCATTATATGGAGCTGCGCGCTCATTCTGTCAAGTTCGCTTACAATTCCCTCCTTTGTAGCTTTTAATCAAGGACTTGTATCAGTACAGATTCTTGTGTTATCTACATACTAGGTAGGTAGCGAAGGTGCCCGCTATCTTGTCATATATCGTAGGGCTTGCCAGCTCCACGAACAAAAGTGGCACCAGGGAGGTTACCCCCGTTGGTGCATGCTATTATTTCTCCCCATGACATGAAGCATCGCAGATTTGATTGGAGTTTTGTACAAGGCATTTATAGTAATCTGCGGATAACTTAGCTTTAGGAGAGAAATTGAATATAAAAAGAGTCCGTTAATCTATATGAAGTAGGGGATTTCGGGATTATTATAGTTACCTCTACGTAGCGAGCCTTCCTGTGCTATCTTACTAGTCCTCTGTTATTAACACCCAGTCCTAATAGATAGATGTTGAGTCGTCGAGGGCAGAGGGCCCTATGACTTCAGCCCTCCGGCGAGACGATCTGCAGTTGAGTGATGACAACGTCTGTCTACGTCGGATTCGGTCTTCATGCCACAGATAGAAGATATATGTATATACAGGTATAGAGGCCCATCATGTTCGTTATCACTTATAGTCACTCTTACCATTCGAGTGGTGTCTGCGTGCTTTCTTTCCTTCTTTCTTTTCCTTTTTTTTTTTTTTTTTTTTTTTGGCGGGATTAACACCGCAAAGAATATCGGTCTACTCCGTAAACGAAGGGTGCTTAGTAGTACTCTCTCACACCGGTTATGGCAGCCAGGTCCATCTCTCAAACGCTTGCCTCGTTTGATAAGCAATGGTCACCTCGGCTGGTGACGTGGGTGAATGACCAAGACATCGAAATCGCGAAGACGGCCCATTCATCTTTCACGCCTATCCCGACGGGGACGAGCTGTTCCATGTTCTTTCAGAGAAACGACGGTGGAGGTCGAAGGAGGGGCAGTATTGAGATGCATGTCTACTTTTTCCCAACCCCAAGGGATGTTCGGCATCGCCCCGTCGCGCAAAACGCACACATCACGATGGTGGAGAGAGCTGGGAGGGTGAACACAGGTGGCCAGGAGAATTCAAAGAGAACCAATGCGGTGAAAGATGGCAGGCATGCTGCATGAAAAGCTGGGCACGTGAGAAGATGGTTGCATTCGAGTCGGTAGAGTTCTTTTTTCTCCTCGCCAGACTTTAGAATCGCTGGCATGCTGGGTTGCGTGGTCGACTGCGGGGAAGTGGCGGCGGGGCACCGAGCTGTATTGTATCCTTTTGAACGTGCGCAGGTATAACAAACCAGACGCACTGCGCACATTAAAAGGGATACACAAAGATGTAGTAGGGGAGGGGCAATTGATCGGTCGGCTGAGCTTGACGACATGGAATGACTACTACTAGGTACCTAGTTAGTAGACAATGCCTCGGAATCATGGTAGACACGCCCGGGGGATTGCAAGATTAAGCATCTATCAGCTGTGCATAAGATATAGTGGCAGTCACGGCTTCCTGACGTCGACTGCAATCATCACCAGGAGTCGACATGACGCTTCTAAACGGCCCACCTGGGATCTTGGAAACTACCTAGGTACCTACGCGCGCGGCCCCTGGTTCTGGTGACAGCATAACTGTTACAAGACAGGTCCTAAATTGTCACCAGCTATTAGAAGTCTTGTGTATTGAGTAAAAAATTCTGGTTAGCTGTCTTGTGATAGATGATAGCCAGGGGACAGTCACCAGAAAACCCCTTGGCGCGCTATTAGGTACCCAGGTGCCAGGGTACTTGATACCTGCTTGCTAGTTATTGGTATTCTACTTGCAATACAGGAAGGAGCACGTTGGGTCGAGTTGTGGACGCAGACACCATGACATCTTGTCGCTTGGACTCGCCTTTGCTGCGCGTCTATGAAACCATGCTCGGCACAAAGGAACGTTGAAGCTAGTATCTCCAAGGAACAGAGTAACATACAATCGGGGGCGTGATCAAAAAGGCAAGGGGCGGCAATGGGGATCATCAATGGGGGCTGAGCTGCAACAATCGTCATCGTCTTGCCTTACAAGCCACGCTGGCCTGGATGCGCAGATGCAAGTGCCAAATAGCGCCTAGCTCGATTGAGCGCCTGGGAGACGTTTAGTGCATGTGGGCGTTCGTGGCCCTCATGGCATTTGATGGCCCACCGCCCAAGTTCTGCTAATTGTTCAGTCACGCACACCACCACTCTTGACAGTCAGTCATTCATTCCTTCCTCGCCCATCACTTTCCAGGGCTTCCGAGCCGAGTGCGTCAAGCAAATGACTCCGTCTCTCCCTTGTTCAAACCCTGCTGCTTGTTATACAACCTTCCCCCGCGGTCGCATGCCATTTTGTCCGCGCACGGACTGAGGGGCGATTTGAACAGCCCACCGCGACAGCCGAACTTACGCGCTCAGGTGCTGAAGTGCTGCCCGGCGTGATATATATGTATACAGCTCCGAGACTCTCCAGCCCCCCGTCCCTCCATCCAGCAACCATATACACATTACCTGACACTTACATGTACCCACTTGCCATCCCACTATCACCAGCCGAAGCAACAGCCCACTAGGCTCGACCTTGGCTTAACCTTGGGACTGTGCCCCGCTTTTCAATCATCGTCAAGGACCCCGTCTGCGTCTTCTGGCTTTTTTCCCTTCTTCGACAGCACCCGCTTCTACGGCTTGTCATTTATTCGTTCGAGGCATCACAACAGCTCCAGCTTCTCCGACGCGTCCAGTTCCACGCTCTCATTCCATCTGAGAGCAGCGTCGAGGCTGGCAGCAAGGGAGGCAAAGGCTCCAAGACCAGGTCCGAGACCAAACCAAGAAAATGCCCTTTCGACAACGCATGGCCCGCCATTTTGGCGATTCGGTACGTTGAGAGAACATGATTGTTCCATCCTATGGTCCCCAGGCTCAGCCGGAATACCCGTGCACGCGTCATGTTACCTAGAAACGTTTTATTCAAATCATCGTCGCGCTTTATAATGTCTGTGCATACGTCCGAAGTACACGCTTTATTTAACGTCCTGGTTCTCCCCCACCCCCTTCTCTTTCTTTCTCCTGCCCTTATTTGACACGGATGTGGACAACCAGGGTCCCTACAGAGTTCAACTTACTGGCTTTCCCAAAATAATCCTGCTGACTTATGTCCCGAGATAGCTCTCTCCTGAAAAATCCTACCTGAGTTACTACGACGTATTGTTAACCGTTGAAGACATCAAGTCGCTTAAAAATGACTGGCTCACGGATAACAACATTGCCTTCTGGGAAGAGTATCTCGAGAGGGAGACCTTACCTCGTTACCCCCAAGCCCGAATTGTGCTGCTGCGTCCGAGTATGAGTTTCCTCCTAATGAAGGAGCCTGATATTCGTCATGTTCGCTCTGCGCTGCCAGACTTTTCCAAAGTTACCCACGTCTTCCTTCCCATCAACGATAATCGCAACGTGAGTGTTGCCGAAGGTGGCAGCCATTGGTCTCTGCTGCTGGTGTCACTGTTGGACGGCATCGCCTTTCACTACGACTCTCTTGGTGGAGCAAACTTCGCGGAAGCGAACTTGGCTACACGACGGATGGGCGAGGTTGTTGGAAGACAGATGCGTTTTATCAACCTTGACGACTCGCCTCAACAAGAGAATGGCAGCGATTGCGGCGTCTTCGTCTGTCTCTTGATGCGCCACTTGCTGGTCAAGCGCCTGCTAAGTGCCAATGCTCGAGAAAAGGTCTCCATGAGCATGGCGGGCAAAATGGTCGATAGTAACGGCGGCCGGAAGGAAATGTTGCGCATCATTGAGAACCTTCGCAAGGAAGGAGAACGTAGACGGTCGTAAGTGTGTCTCCGACAGAACACCCAACGCAATCAACTAATATGTAACACTCTACAGGCGGAGCGCAAGCCCATTTACCAACAAGACGCCTCCGCGGATTGAATAGAGCTCGGCTCGCCATGGCACCCGCACTACACCTGGCCAAGTACTACTGCAAACGGAAGAGGGAAATTCTGAAGTCAGCGAAGACGATAGTCAAGACAGCTCTCTGCCGCGTTCCATTCGATCCAAGGTGCGCCAATATATACGTTTTAAACAACACACCCAGTCAGAATGCCTGCATACGGACCACCAAGACAGCAGCGATTCCCTGCCCGGCGATGGAACCACTACTGGCCTTAGCATCTCGACAATTTCTCGAACCCGTGAGCTCAGCCTATCACAGACTTCCGCAATGGATGGGATGGGCTCGGGTGAAGACAACCCCCGACGCCATCAACATAGCTCACGAAGCAACAGCACCGGCAGTGATAGTTTCGATGGCTCTTTTCACCCTGTCACATCTCCAAGTCCATGTGCGGAACAAGCAGACATCACTTCATTGACGATCAGGGCGAAAAGGCGCTTACAGGCAGCTCTGGAATAGACTTTCAGCTCCCATCCACCTTCTACCACACCGAGTTGGCCAAGACGAATGAGCATTTAATCATGCGGTGGCCATTCTCCCCGATGTTGGCGTGTTTCTTTGCATTCGTTTGAATTCATTTCGATGCATCATATTTGTGCAATAGCGATTCAGCATGTCCTGTTGTGTACTTTTTATGGAAGGTTTTTTTTTTTTTGTGCGTGCGTGTGTGTTTTTTTTTTTTGCGTTTGTCTCGTTTTGTGGCGTTGGATGAGTATTGCTATGAATATTTCGGAAGAGCGCTGGCGTTGTGACGGGCTGAAAAGACAGACCACTTGGCAGGGGTGCATTAT